GCTACTATTATGGCTATCATCATTGTCATTATTATTAGTATAATAGTTAATATTCGAGTACCTATCAACTTCTCGTCATTTGCCTCTTTCTAGTCCTTAAGGCATTCAGAACTCACAACATTTTATGGATGCAAGAAATCACCCTCACAATTTATGCTCACTTCGACATGGGAAATTTCAGTTAGTGCGTAGCGCTTCTTTGAGACATATTTTAAATTTCTTAAAAATTTTGATAGCTAGGCTTGAATAGTTGACATTCCTTTCTGTTTTTTTAATTTTGGTCCCTATTCACCCTTACATAGGGCCCGTCAGCAAATTCGAGACTCCCTACGCAGTAATGACTTCCTCAGCAATCTCGACGCTGTGCAATTGCAAGAGATGGTCTCCTGCATGTATGAGAAACATGTACCCGAAGGTGCATACATCATTCGAGAGGGCGATATTGGACACGAGCTTTATGTTGGGGCAGGTAATATCTTCCCTTTAATTGTATATCAGATTGCTTCGATTTTCCTCTCCATTGAGGGCATGGGGTGCATATAACTCTTTGTGATATAAATAAATTATAAGGATCCTATATTTAACTATATTTACTTTTAACTAAACCATTAGCTATAAATTGGGCCCAGGCTAAAGTCTGAATTCGAGATGTGCTGCATTTTGTAGCCTTTACAGTATGGTAGACAAACATACCGAACACTTTATTCGATAACCGAATTCCAATATGCGTTTGATCGTTATTTAGAACAATTCTGACGATTATCGCTAACCTCACATTCCTTTTTGACATATAAAACCTCGCTTTTATGGCTAATTACACAACTCAAATGTCTTTTATTCGGAATATAGTGAATTTACGGACATTTTAACTTTCTAAAGCATCAACTTATTTCATGCTTTATAGTTGCTCTTTGTCTCTCATGGCGCAGAAGGGATATGCTTTTTTTGTGGGAAGGTCCTTATTCCATTGGAACGGCAATATCATCGTTACTTTAAAATCCGATTCGCTTGTGGTCCCAAGCACCTTGAATTATCTCTTCCGCCTACTTGTGTGTTCTATACACCAGGTAGGACAGCCATTTTCATGCTTTGTGAGCGTTAAACCTGAAATGAGAGAAATGTCCAATCTTGTAAATGCTTAAATAATTGTAGTCGTATTTGAGTAGGGTTTCGAGTGGTTAGCGTGTCAAGCTACCGTCCTGCACTGTC